CATGTCAAACAGGGCACCTAAAAAAATGTTTCATTTTATAATAATAAAGCCACCAACACAAAATAATTACAATTCTTAAATTGATGACAAAAATACCTGTAGGATTTGCAGCTGGTTGGAAAAATACAGGTAACTTTATGCTTCGAGTAGGTACTTTTGTCACCCGCACGCGATTTGCGGATGCGACTAGCACTAACCACTGCACAATGAGACTGCTGACTGACTGGCTCACTCAACTCGTGCATGAATCGCACGCCTCCCCTGGGCTGCATATCCCGCGGCCCGCCTGCACCGCGTCTCCCATCGCCCGACCCACCAACACCCCCCACTTCTTCTAACGCCACTTCAAAATAGACTCACCTAGGCCGAAAACCAACTTCTGCACATGGGCCACAAAGTTTCAATCGCACTGTACGTGCACGCCCGCACATGGTATTTTGTGGAAGAGCCACATTCAAGGGGCCAAAGAGCCACATGTGGCTCGCGAGCCACAGTTTGCCGACCACTGTTCTAGATTTTTTATGGTTTCCCAACTTACATTTAAGTCTTTTATCATTTTGAGTTTATTTTTGTGTATGGTGTAAGTTGGTAGTCTAGTTTTGTTTTTTTGCATGTATCTGTCCAATTTCCCCCAATACCATTTATTGAAGGGACTGTCTTGACTACATTGTATGCTCTTGCCTCCTTTATCAAATATTAATGGAGCATAATGACTGGGGTTGATTTCTGGGGTCTCTGTTCTGTTCCATTGATCTATATGCCTGTTCTTGTGCCAGTACCAGGCTGTTTTGATTACGGTGGCTTTGTAGTATAACTTGATATCTGGTATTGTGATTCCTCCAACTTGGTTCTTCTTTCTCAAGTTTGCTGCAGCTATTCGGGGTCCTTTTTGGTTCCATATAAATTTTTGGAGTATTTGTTCTGTATCTGTGAAATATGCTGTTGGTATTTTAAAGCTATTCGGGGTCCTTCTGTAGATTGCTTTGAGTAGTATGGACATTTTAATGATATTGATTCTACCAATCCATGAACACGGTATATTCTTCCACTTGTTTATAGCTTCTTCTATCTCTTTTTCAATGTTACAATGGTTCTTTAATACTTAGGTAATGCTAACATCTCTCTCTCTTTTTCTTTTGGTATTTATTGGTGTTTTTTTTCATTGAGTTTGAAATCTTACTAGTTGACAAGTAATTTTCAGTTAAAACTTGGATATTTTGGGTATTCCATTATAAGACTGGATCTTATTCATGGGCCCCGCGTGCTTCTGCTGCACTGCTCTGCTCCTCTGGGTCGTAATGAAGCCTTTGTTTTAGCTGGCTTCCTTTGATATATTCCACTTGTTACTGCAGGTGAGGGTAGAAGTCTAGGTTCCCTACTAGGCCTCCACTGATAACACGTTAGTGGTCAGGATAGGTGTACTGCATAATGACACTGTGGTTCAACAATGGATGCAACGCGTTCCTCATGTGTTTGTGGTGATGCTGGTATAAACAGACCTACTGTGCTCCCAGTCATATAAAAGTACATCATGTTCAGTTATGTAAAGTATATATTACTTTATAATGATATAAACAACTATGTTATAGGTTTATGTATTTACTAAACTTTTTATCGGTAATTTAGGGTGGATTCTTTATACTTTTTTAAAAATATATTTTTATTGATTTCAGAGAGGAAGGGAGAGGGAGAGAGAGATAGAAACATAAATGATGAGAGAGAATCATTGATCAGCTTACATTTGTTCACATCCTTTTGCAGGGATTGAGCCTGCAATCCAGGCATGTACCCTAGACCAGAATTGAACCTGGGACCCTTCAGTCTGCAGGCCAACACTCTATCCGTTGGGCTCTTTATACTTATTTTAAAAAGTTTAAAACAAAAAAAAAAGTAAAGCATTATGCCATCTTATGTTGGCAGCAGCCTCATACATCCAGTGTTCACTGTGTCTCTTGAGTACATCATTTTCTCTTGTGCTTGATTTAATCTCGTGTTGTTTTGTACAGTACCATACATAGCCTAGGAGCAGTAAGTGCTACTAGGCTACCATCTAGGTTTGTGTAAATACAGTCTGTGACGTTCGTACAAGGACGAAATCGCCTAACATTGAATTTTTCGGACTGTGTACGCATCAATAAATAGCAATGACTGTACTGCTAGGTTCGGGGAGGGGAACAGGCTTTCCAGGGGATCACCACTGACACTGGGGTTGAAGAGAGAGCTCATTGCCACGGGCAAGGATAAAAGTCCTGGCTTCCTACTGGATCTTTGGTCGCATCAGTGAGAATGGAGCTACATTTTTTTATGGGGTGCTTGGCTGGAGTAGAGTGGTTCTTGTCTAAAAGTTTTCTGTCTTGCTAGGCTATCCCTTTCTTGTTTTTTTGGCTAGATAGAGCAGGTACTCATTGGTGTTATTTTGTCTCTGCCCATTGGCATTTCTAGTTGCCAACTTCTTTAGCTCCAAGTTTGGAATATCAAAGACAAAAAACAAAAACCCAGCAAACTTACCACCATGTTGTTACTTAGGCCCTCACCCAAGGATATTTTTCCATTGATTTTTAGAGAGAGTGGAACGGAGAGGGAGAGACACAGAGAGAGAAACATTGATGTGAGAGAGACACATGCCCTTGACCAGAATTGAACCTGGGACCCTTCAGTCTGTGGGCTGAGGCTCTATCCACTGAGCCAAACGTGCTCGGGCTATTTATGACTACATTTTAAGGACCACGGATAATCATCAACTAGAAAGCTTTGATATGCTTGCTAAACATAGTGAAGTTTGTCAAAGGCCACAGTATGAAAACTTAAAAATGAAATGAATTCTGGGATACAGAAATGGAGTTAGTTTTGTTCACATCTACATCTATACAATTGTCTTTAAGAAATGTTTGTTGAATGAATAAGCTTTATATAAGAATTTTTCTACTTTTTTTTTGTAACCAGAAATTTAATATCTGTATACTCGTCCATGAAATAGATACAGCCTAATTTATTTAACCATTTCCCTAAATTTATTTAACCATTTTCCTATAATTGGACATTTTGTAGTTTTTTAAAAAGTTTTTCTGAATTAATAGTGCTGCAATTAATATTTTCATGAATAGAACCACCATCCCATATTTACTTACATAGTTACTTCTGTGAGCTGGAATCATAGAATTAGATACACTGAATTTAGGGGATATGAAAATTTTCATGGTTTTTGATACATATTGCTTTTATAAGGATTATATAAATTTATAGTCTTATTAATAACAAAGGAGAGTGGTGTCATTGTTAAGAGTTTTGCTGACTTGTATCTGTGATCTGTTTTTTGTTTTTTTTTTGTCCTGGGTTTCTTTCAGATTCTTGTCTTTTACTTTTTACGATGTCTTCTGGCTTTTGTGAGCTGTATCTGTGAACTTTACTTTTACAAGTGAGTATAAAAGCTTTGCTTCTAAAAGTGCTATGAGGAAACCCAATATAGATTATTTTTCTGATAGTATTAGCAGTGTTTAAAAATAGAAAACACTTTCCTTCTAGCTCCTAATATTATATCTAAAATGTGATCTCTTGTTTGAAACAAACTGTTGGAAGGGGAATACTTCTAATGATCACTTTTTCCCCCCTGAGTTTCATAAATACTGTAACTTCATATTATTAATTTTAATTCTGTTAATACATATCTAACTAGTCTTCTCTTTGGGGGGATTTAGTAGCGCTTTATTTTGGGTCCCAAGATTTAGATAGGATCATGATTTACCTTTTTCCCTTGAGCTTAACTGACAGGAACTTATTCCCGTGTGGGACTCACTGCTCTTATTTGCATCCAGTAAATGAATTTCACCAAGTACCTATTGTTTGATTGAATATTAGTGGAAATACTAAGTATTTTAGTAATAAAAATAGCTCACTTTTTTTACATGAAGCCTAACAAACATCTTATTTTGTTAATGCTGTAAAAGGTATTTGGACTTAATGATCATTATTAAAAATCTTCCCACTGCAAAACAGCTAAAAATGTCAGATAAAAAAATAGTTGGCCTTGACTCTAGGTGGAATAGAGGAGAAAAAGGAAAGCCAGTTCTGCCTTTGAGGATTATAACCATAAGTTGGTCGTCATATGGGCTCAGGATTGAATTCAAATCACCCACATGGTCCCCCAACCCCCAAGTTGAGAATTTGTTTAAAATTGTTCTGGGATGGTAGTGCTTTCAGGCTACTTGCAAAAGTGAATGTAAAATTTCGTTAGAGGAGTGAATTCTTAACCCAAGTGTCAAAGAATTACCACAGGTAAAGTTTCAGTGAACAAGACATTATAGTAAAAATAAATCATAGAGCACAAAAGGGAACAAGGCACTATGCCTGAGAGCCAACAGACATAACGACAGATAGCTGACCTGCACGACTTCATTTATTAGGAATTACTGAAAGGAGAATGTAAAATAAGCATATTTAATATTTTTAAAGAAATGTAAGAGGCGGGGATCGCAGCTCGAAGGAACTCCCGGAAGTGAGGGATCTCGAAGAAATGTAAGGGGGAATTGAAAACATAAATCAGAAATGAGACTAATCAACAGAATGAAAAGGAACTTACAAAATGGGAGAAAATAATTGTAAACCATATTTCCAAAATATACGTGTAAGGAACTCCAGCAACTCAATAGCAAAAAAAACTAATAATTCGATTATAAAATGGACTAAGGACTTGAATAGACATTTCTCCAAAGAAGACATACTAATGACCAATAGATATGTGAAAAGGCAATCAATGTCGCTACTCATCAGGGAGATACAAGTCAAAACCACAATGAGATCACTTCATATTGGTTACAATGGCTGTTAAAAAAACCCAAACAAACAAAGACAACAGATGTTGGCGAGGAAGTAGAGAAATTAGGACCCACACACGGTTGGTGGGAATGCAAAATGGTAGTGCAACTATGGAAAACAGTATGAGGTTCCTCAAAAAATTAAAATTCGAACTACCAGCAATCCCACTTTAAAAAAAATATGTTTTTATTGATTTTTAGAGAGGAAGGGAAAGGGAGAGAGAGATAGAAACATTGATCAGCTGCCTCCTGCATGCCCCCTACTGGGTATCGAGCCCACAACCCCAGGCATGTGCCCTGACTGGGCATGGAACTGGTGACGTCTTGGTGCATGGTTCGACGTTCAGTTACTGAGCCACACCAGCTGGGTAGCAATCCCATGTCTGAGTATTTACCTAAAAGAATTGAAATCAGAATCTGGAAGAGATATGCACATTCCCATGTTCATTGCAACATTGTTCACAATAGCCAAGATTGAAAACAAGCTAAATATCCATTGACAGATGAATTGGGGGGGCGGGGGCGGGAAGAGGGCAAATGTGTTATATACATACAATGGCATATTATTCAGTCTTAAAAGAAGAAAATCCTGCAATATGTGACAATATGGAAGAACCTTGAGGACATTATGCTAAGTGAAATAACCAGTCACAGAAGGACAAACACTGCATGATTCCACTTATATGAGGTTTCTAAAATAGTCACATTCATGGAAGCAAAAGAATTGACTTGTGGTTGCCAGGCGTTGGAGAGAGGGGGAAACAGGAAGCTGCTAATCAATGGATATACAATTTCAGTTATACAATATGAATTCATTCTAGAGATTTGCTGTACACCATTATGCTTATAGATAACAGTATTTTACACTTAAAAATCAGTTAAGAGGATAGATCTCATATTAAGTGTTCTTAGCACAATAAAATAAAGAAGTTAAAAGAACTGAGACTACAACAATAACCAGGCAGATTTGAAAAAGAACTGAACAGAACTTCTAGAAATGAAAATATAAGAATTGGTATTTAAAATTCAATAGAGGAGAAAACCAAGATGGCGGCATAGGTTAACGCCGGAGTTTGCTGCCTCGAACAACCACTTCAAAAATACAACTAAAAGACGGAACGGACATTATCCAGAACCACAGGAAGGCTGGCTGAGTGGAAGTTCTTCAACTAGGAGTAACCGAGAATCAGAGGAGGCGCAGTGCTGAAGTAAAATACTAAGGTGCGGAGTGCGCGCGGCGCGGGCTGGTGGCTGAGGGCGCGGTTGTCTGTTTCAATCCGGAGGGAGCCTCAGACTCTGAGCTCCAGCGAGTCTCTAGGGACCCAGACTCAAACGGGAGAAGCAGGACTGTCTGGCTACGGTCCCTCCGAGGTTTGCAGCCGTTGCTGGGACAGAGAGGCAGAGCCCCGGGAAAAAAGAGGAACAAATGTAATAATCTGAACAATAAAGATTTAATAAAAAAAAATAAAATAAAATAAAATTCAATAGATAGGTCCAGGGGTGGGGAACATCCGGCCTGCAGGCTGTATAAGGCTCACGAAATCATTTGGTCTGGCTCTGCCAAGGCATGGGGGTGAGTTAATTAAATGGTTGACTAAATATAGCAGGCTAATTTTTAAGTTGATAATGTTGTATGGCCCACAAATGACGTTATAAATATCCACATGGCCCTTGGCAGAGAAAGGTTCCCCACCTCTGGTTTAAACAGATGATTAGACATTACTAACATGTAAACTAGAAGATTGATCTGAAGAAAACACTAAGAATGCAGTACAGAGTGACAACAAATGGAAATATAAAAGAGTTAAGAATGTTCATGGCCACATTATTCACAATAGCTAAGATTGGAAACCACCTATATGTCCACTGACATTGTGTATGGTAGAGTTGAAAGATGTGATATCTAATCACATTCTAGGAGATAATGGGGAGGATGGGGAGAGGCAGTTTTCAGGGAAGTAATGGCTAAGAATTTTCCAGAATTGATGAAAAAAAAAAAAGATGCTAATCCACAGATTCAGAAAGCCCAACATATCCTGATATGCATAACTAAAAAGGAAGAGTGAAACTGTGTAGAACTTCAAGAACAGAGGAGATTTTGGTGTGGCTTAGTGGTTGAGCACTGATTGATTTATGAACCAGGAGGTCATGATTCAATTCCTGGTCAAGGCACATGACTGGGTTGCAGGCTCGATTCTCAGTAGGGGGCTTGCAGGAGGCAGCCAATCAATGATTCTCTCTCATCATTGATGTTTCTGTTTCTCTCTCCCTTTCCCTTCCTCTCTGAAATCAATAAAGATAAAAAAATAAAAGAACAGAGGAGATCTTAAAAGTTGACAGAGAACTTAATAGATTACCTATAAAGGAATGTTAGGCTCTCAAAAGCCAAAGGCAATAAATAAATAAATAAATAAATAAATATCTTCAAAGTGCTGAGAGAAAATTACTGTCATTCTAAAATTGAATGCTCAGTCAAACCATCTTTTAAGAGCTAAATAACGACTTTTTATACAAAATATAAAAGAAAGAAAAAGAAAGCCAACAAAAACAGAATTTACCATTAACAGAGCTTCACTAAAGGAACTTCTAAAGGATATACTTAGGAAGAAGCTAAATTATTTCAGAAAGAAGCTCTGAGATACAATAAGGAACCTGAGCAATAAAAATAGTTAACACATGGTATGTCTGAGCAAATTTTGACTGAATGAAGCAATAACAATTTCTAATAATGTTTCATTTATAGGCTTTTTAAAGACCTACAAGAGAGAAGTAAAGGGAGGGTATAATTAATTGCTTAACTTTGAGAAACCCTGACTTAGATAAGGACTTATTAACACTGTGGTGTATCTCCTAGTCTTTTTCTGACAACTACCATTCACTGAGTGACTGCCAGGCACTCTTCTAAGCACTTGGCCATGCATTGTCCTCCCAGAAACCTTACAAAGTCTCACTAACCTCTTTTTACAAAGGAGGAATCTGACAGAGTGAGTATGTACCTAGACAAGGGTGTCACTGCTAGTAAGTGGCAGACTCCAGATTTGAACCTGTGCCTATGTGAGTCTGAGGCCTATTGTTTTTCTACAACATCATGCTGTTTTCCTATTGTTAGTAGACATGCCCTTCGCACAGAAAGTATATCTTTCCTTGTAGGGAGAGAGCTTCTTTCCTTATGCACGTGAACATTGCTAACAAACCCGTCAAGTCCGCTCAGTATTTGACTTTACATCTTCCGTGTTCTCTGTGATGCAGGCATGTTTTTGTCTTTTGATTTGAAATTTCCATCCCCAAGATGTGCTCTGCTGAGAGTTTTTGCCTTTCTCCTAGGGCCGTGTGTAAGAAGTTTGGGTTGCATGTGAGTCGAATGATGCTAGCCTTCTTGGTTCTCAGCACTGGCATGTTCTGCTCATCTTCAGGTAAGTAAAGGAGCAGGTGAGGGCATAACAGGCTCACTGATATTTCACAGTTGCATTTAAAGAAGGAACTTGTCCAGGTACAGTTTATATTTGCATAACGTCAATAATGTGCAGATCACTCTTACCTGTACACTCTGGATTGGCTTTACAACATTAAGTAAGGTAAGTATTTTCTCATTTTTGTTGGAACTTAGAAAGATGACATGACTTACTGAAAGTCAAACAATTCATAAGTGGTAGAGCTGTTGTTTTCATGAGGTTGCTTTCTGTTACATATTATATTTTTTTGTCACTGTAAGGCTGAAAAACACAGGTACCCCCTCTTTCTTTGTTGTTAGGGGAAGGAAAATCATTTTATTATTTTGCTCAAGAAAGCTCTTGTGCCTAAAAAACCTGTTCTTGGTGGTTCTCCTTTCTGCCCAATATTTGCAATGTGTTCTGTAAAGGTTTACATCTTCTGTTGGGATTTTTTTTTCATACTAAGTTTGTAGAAATTGAGAATAAAAACCTTAATCTAGAGAGGTGGCTTTCAAACTATGCTGCCAGTGAACATTCGTGTTCTATGAGCTGAACCAAGGTAACCTGCTGCCAAAAGGCAGCCTGTTCCCAGTCTCTGGAAAAATTGTTACTATATGTAATTATTTCAATTTTGATTTCTGCTTGCTTGTACCAGAATCTAGTATACACACTAAATATGCACACAAATTGTATCCAGCTCAAAAGTATATGCTTTTTCTTCATTGACTATCAAAATCTATGCTGTTCTGCAGACACCTCAGGGCTCCACACCCAAATAACTTTGAGAGCCAGTGGCCTAAATGAGACTGTGCTCTCCTCTCTGAGCTGGCAGAGACCTCAGATTCCTCTGCTCCCCTTGCCTGAACACTGGAGCTGGAATCTGTAGCTGTGGATGGCATCGATTCTATTTAGCATTTATCTGTGAAGGTTGTACCCAACGTTTTTCTAGTTACTTTGCTACTCCTAAAATTGATGCTTCTCTGAGGGAGATACTTGGGAGTGTCTTTAGTTTTGTAACCTCAGTTGAGAATGTTAAGGCACAGATTAGTTCATAGCATCCTTTGAGACAAAGCCTCATCTCTTTGCCAAGGTTCTTAAATCATATTGCCTCTTCATTGTGGTTCTTATTGGAGTCAGTACTGACTTTTCTTCCCCAGTGCTAGGTGAAGTAGACCTCACACAGCAGGGAGATGCAGATCTGCATTTTTGTGTAGAATTGGTGGAAACACTTTGATCAAACATTGCTATTGTAGAGAACCTGAGTACAGTCAGTCCCCTGCTGTATACAACAGCAAAGTAATACTAGATGGAAATAATTAGGGGGACACCTAAGGCCACACATCTATGTCAGTGGATGCAGGATGCAAAGCAGTGTTACCATCCAACTTTTGGCCTTTGAGAAGGTTTCCCAGAATTCCTATGGGGAACAGGTTGGTACTTGGACAGCCTCAGAAGATAAACTTCTCCAGAAATAGATTGTCAGCAGTGGCTCTAAGTTTCCTGAAGCATATTCACTGCCTGGAAATATAGCCTGGGTTATACCTGGGGAACCTGGAGTTCTATAAGTTTTAGATTTGGGTATAGGCCAGGAGAGGAATGGCGTGGTTGGTATTGTATAACTGGCTGGGTGATGTGTTGGTACCTAAAAAACAGGAGTGAGAAAACAAGAAAATCATTGCATTTCTTTTTTTAAAAGGTGCCCACTTCTAATATAGCATTGCTCAAAATATGTTCCTGGTTATTGACATTTTGCAATATAGGTAAATTTTTAATAATTGATACTTAATAAATCTCAAACTCTTGTCCCTGTCCCCCTTTTTTTCATGTCTTTACTCTTACAGCATTTCTTCCTAGTAGTTTCTGTATGTATACTACATTGATAGCCATGACTGGCTGGTATATGGACAAAACTTCCATTGCTGTGCTTGGAGTAGCAGCTGGGGCTATCATTGGCTGGCCATTCAGTGTGGCTCTTGGGTAAGAAACTAACACAACTCATCTCCCTTGTATCACTGGGCATATAGTAAATCTTAATGTTAGGTTATCTCCATATTCTCTGGATAGGATCTAAAGTTAGAGGATTTATTTGGGTCTGCAAAGATTGGGAAACGAAAGGATATTTCTCTTGGTGCTCATTGTTTTGATTAATAAGAATAGTAACTGTTAAGCATCTGCTGCGTGTTAGACACTGCTAACCCACTTACAAACTTTATTCCTAAATCTTATAACAACTCTGCAGGAGAAATCAATTATTAGTGCTTTGTAAATGAGAGAGTAGAGTCCAAGAGGTTGAGTAATTTGCCTTTAAGATTATGTTTGCTTTTGGGCCCAGGCACTTCTGACTCTGTAGCAGATGCTTTTTCACACTGTACCACCGTAGGCTGTGTTTTTTCAGTTGCCAAGGCTTGAAATCTGAGTTCCTTTCAGTCCTCCCTTCTTGCCCCCAGAATAATTTTTTTTAGTTTCATAGTGCCTGTCATTCCTTTTGTACTTTTTGTTCCCACCACTCTATTCTATTTGTGCTGCCTTAATTTATTGCCTGGATCACTAGTAATTTAGAAAAAACTTTAGTTTGATGTTTAGGTCATTATAGTAGTAGTAGTAGTATATCTTTATTATTTTAAAAGTATTGGATTGTTTGAGGTAAAAAGAATTCTTAATTTTCTTCTCCCCTTACACAATCTTCAAAGATAGTCACTGCTAATAGTTTTGTGTATATCTTTCCAGAAATTATCCTTGCATGTATAAATGCATACACACACTTATATACCAAAATCCTTAAAATAAATAGAATTATTCTATACTCATGTAAATTTTTTATTGTACATAGATTTATATGGTTCTTTGTAACTATTGCATAGCATTCCATTATATGGCTGTTCATAATTTACTTAGTGATTGTCTTATTGGTAGACATTTAGTTTTCATTTTTGTTGTTGTTATACACATGCTTCAGTGAACATTTTTGTACATATGTCTATATACTTGTGGAAATTTATCTATGGAATACATTTTCAGAAAGGGAATTCTAAGTCAGAGAATAGGCATTTTAAATTTTCTTAATTGACTTTTAAAGGCTGGTATCTCCACCTTCAATCTTTTCTTTTATTCTGCATATTATCCTCAAATTACTTTATTCTTTAAGGTTTTGTTTGTGGTTCTCTTCTATACTTTCTGCTATCTAGTCAATCATCTCTTCGGTTTTACTCATATATTCCTAGCTGCCTATTAGATCTCTCCATTTATATTTACGACATTGAACTCATTACCTCCCTTCCATATCTGTTTCTTCACCTCTGTTTCGATCTCAGCAAATGGTACTGTCTGTGCTGAGCCAGGAACCTGAAACTTATCTGTGACTCTCTTCTCTTTCCCATGTCCTATTAATTTATGACACCTCCTGAATATCTTTTGAATCTGACTACTTTTCTTCACCTCTCACTAGTCCTGGATTACTTTACAGCCTCCTGAATGATCTTCCTGCCTCTAGTATTGATCCTTGTAAATCTACTCTCCACATTCAAATGTTCCTTTTAGAGTTATCTTCCTAAAATGCAAATATGATTGTATCACTCCCTATTTTGTTCCAAACTATATAATAGCTTCCCCAATGCTCTGTGTCCCAGAGGTTGGCAACTTGTACCCAATGGAGCAAATCCAGCTGGCTTGTTTTTGTACAGCCCAAGAACTAAAATTTTCGCAATTTTAAAGGGTTGTTAAAAAACAACACACACACACAGAGGAATATGCAACAGAGACTGTATGAGGCCTTGTAAAGCCTAGAATATATGCTGTCTGGTCCTTTAAATAAAAGTTTGCCAACCCCTGTTTCATGGTGTGCAAACTCTAACATGACGCATAAAGCCCTTATATTTCCCCCCTTTTACCTCTCCAGCCTTCTTTTTTTAAGTTCCTCTATTTCTTTTACTCTCTACTCCATCAGCATTAAACTTTTGGAGTTCCCCAAATACCTCTGGGTCATCCGTTTTGATGGTCTGCCTTTAGCCGAGATAAGTGATTTCAGGATCACAGTCAGTTAGCAATCTACCATCATTTATCGGATCCTTTGTGCTAGGCATGGCTGATACTGTGAAAAATAAAACAGTTATGGTTCTTGTTTTTTTGGAGCTTGCATTTTAGTAGGAAAGGCAGACATTGAACAGGTAATTAAAAATATGATGACTTATGTGTTACATGCCGTTGAGTTGGCTCTGACTCCTGGCGAGTGAGTGGTGTCCACAATATCCTGATCTCAACAGCCCTGCTCAGCTCCTGTAGACTCATGCCTATGGCTTCTATGGGATTAACACATCTTCTATTTGGTCTTCCGCTTTTCTTGTTGTCTTCTATTTTCCCCAGCATTGTCTTTTCCAAAAAACCCTGTCTTATCAAAGGAGAAATATAGCACATGGAAATGTAACCATTGGGGTGGGAAAAAAAATGAAAACACAAATGTTAATGCAAAACGTAGGTAATAGAATGTGGAAATTCAAATTATAAAAGATGATGTTCTGTGACAACGCATGCTAAATAAGTCACAGAGATGTCTGGAGGAGGGGGGAATAGAGCCTATAGTTGACATTGGGTGGATTCTATGTGACTAGATTGGTGTAGGGAGGGAATTGGAAGTCGTGGGTATGAAGGTGATTGATCATGCAGCAAGAGTGGAAGCACTTCCTGAGAAAACGAGTACAGAAAGAAAAACAAACTTGTTTTTGGGAACTATGACCATCACAGGGCACTACCATGGGATAGGGAAAAGAAGCCTAGGAAGGAGCATTAGAGAAGAGTCCAAAAAGGAACAGGAGCTAGGGCGTCTAAAGAGGAGGGAACAGATGCTTTGTGCAAAGTGCAGCAGATAGACAAAGGGGATGAGACTTGTGCAGAGATAGTGGCTGTGCCTGAGAGGTCGGTCTTTACAGCTTGATGCTAGACCAGCGGTTCTTAACCTGTGGGTTGTGACCCCTTTGGGAGTCGAACGACCCTTTCACAGGGGTCGCCTAAATACATCCTGCATATCAGATATTTACATTACGATTCATAACAGTAGCAACATTACAGTTATGAAGTAGCAACGAAAATAATTTTATGGTTGGGGATCACCACAACATGAAGAACTGTATTAAAGGGTCGCGGCATTAGGAAGGTTGAGAACCACTGTGCTAGACCTTCAGGAAGAAATAGTGAAGGCAACATACATATTCCTTGCTTTAAGAACTTAAGTGAAAGGAAGAAGAACAAATGGTATTGGAAGAGGGTATATCAGAATTGAAGTCGTTTGTAATATGATATTGCTAAAATCTTAATATATCACGAAAGGGAGAAATCAGTATTTATTTGGCAGGATGGGTATAGAACAGTAGGCTACATTTACCTTATAATTAATATATTTTAAATGTCCATTAGACATAAATATGTATAAAACAGAGCTCATTCCAGAAGCTCAATCTTTATATTTCTTGTGCATCGTGGGTGCATCGCACTCTGATGGGTCCTGAAGAGAACAGTGTATTTTTGAGAAGAAATCCTCTCCTGTACCACCTTTCTTCCTCAGTACAACTGCTAGAGACGTGTTATTCTCAGCTCTGCACGAGGTGTGTGAATCTGACCTGTCTATATTCTCTCTAAGTATATAACTCCCCCTTTCTGTTTCTCTGTTAAATAGTTTACCTATTGCCTTTGACTTGCTGGTCATGAAACACAGGTGGAAGAGTTTCCTCCATTGGTCGCTGGTGGCTTTAATACTCTTTCTGGTGAGTTTTCTCTTTTCCTTGTTTTGTTCTAAAATTGTAATGACAGCAACTTCTTTTTTAAATTTTTAATTTAATTTATTGGGTAACATCTGTTCATAACATTATATAAGTTTCAGGTATACAATTTTGTAATACATCATCTGTATGGAAGCAACCTCTGATGTGGGAAAGAGAACATTAGGAGTTGATTCTGTTTTTGATTTTGAAGTTTGTCCTATGAGCATTGTGAGAATGTTTCCAGAGCAAAACTCCGCAATTGCTATGTATTTTCTGCTCTGTTTCAGGTGCCTGTGGTGGTCATCGACAGCTACTATTATGGGAAGTTGGTGATTGCACCACTCAACATTGTTTTGTATAATGTCTTTACTCCACATGGACCTGATCTTTATGGTAAGGCCTTACGAGATTGGGCAAGAATGAGGAGATAGCTTATTTTGCCTGTGCTTTGAAATTTTAATTCAACTGCCTCATTTGATAAATATGCCATTTCTTTGCTGGTAATATTATTTTCTGATTTTAAAAATAAATGTTGCTTGGCTGGTGGGCTCAGTGGTTTGGCATCGACCTGTGAACCAGGAGATCACAGTTCGATTCCAGTCAGGGCACATGCCAGGATTGTGGTTCAATCCCCAGTAGGGGGCGTGCAGGAGGCAGTCGATTGATGATTCCCTCTCATCATTTATGTTTCTATTTCTCTCTCCCTCTCCCTTCCTCTCTCTGAAATCAATAAAAACATATTTAAAAATAAAATAAAATAAAAATAAATGTCATTTGACTATAGCTCAGTGATATGTTGCCACTAAATGTTTTTCCTTGATTAATAAGATAGTTACATTTAGCTTTCTGTTGGTCCTGCTGTCTGTTATTCTCAGTTGCAAAGTAGTGAGGACTCTGCTGAGTATGCCATGGCTTTTGATACTACTCTTTTTTTTATTAAAAGTTACTTTTTTCTCTTTTCATTAGAAAATTAATATGATAACAAAAATAAAAACATTCATAATCCCCTAATCTCCAGATAGCAATTGTTAACACCTTGGAGTTGTACATGTACACATTTGGTACTATTAATTGTTTATTTAATTCACATTACTTCAGTAGCAGGCATTAGGGGGGAAAGTGTGAAAAATTTATAGATAAAGCATAGCAACTGTGTGTGTGTGTGTCGAGGAGGGGAGTGTCAGCATAAGAAGGTAGGTAGTGTTGACGTAAGAAAGGTCCAAACCCGTAGAGAATTTTTTGTAAGAATTTGAGCCAAACTGACAACACATGCTCGAAGCAAGATCTCAAATGATCCAAAGAATAACAGTTTATTTTATGCATTTGAAATTAAGGAGGGAAGGAAGGAAGATTACTTGAGAATAGGAGAAAAAAAGGTAGGGATCTGATTACAGGTTGAGATTATGTGCTTTCATGAAAGTGACTACGCTTTTTTTAGGGGTCTGAAAAGAGTTATTTCAAAGGTATGTTAACCTAGATGTGCAGAAACTAAAGACAGGTCTTGCTTAAGGCAAAGAGAACCCTTTTACTAAATAATATATGCCTAGGACGTGACTACTCACCATGACCTGCCCAGGTAGGCATTTATGATCGGATCACTCAGGGAGCTTCCTTTCCATAGAACTCATCTTTTTTATCCACTATAGTTTGGCCAGTTTAGGGTTCAGAGAAAAAAGGAATGCCTTTAGTCCAGGGATGCATTCTCCAGTTTACTGTCATCTCCACCTCTCCCCATGCCTTTCTTTCAGTCAGTCATTTCTTCTTTTTTTCCCCTAGCCAGCCATTTGGCCCCTAAGGGCTTTTGAGTTAGTGAGCGCTATAGGGGAATGAGCTAGAGAGATCTTTCTGATCAGATCATGCAAGTCAGTCAGCAATTTATGGGACATTTTTTAATTAAAATAAGTGTAGTTTCTTTGCCTTAATCTTTTGAAGTTCTTAGAGCATTCTGTGTATGATTGTCTTAGGCTCTGCTATGAACAAAGCAGGTTAATATATTATCAATTTAGCCATGCCCACCATTTTTTTATGCCACCCTGCCAATAGAACCAGCAGATTGAGTGAGGAGATTTAAAGTAAGCATGTGAATGAAATTTAATAAGGCCTCCTGGGATTTGGGGGAATATTGTTATTTTAGATGGCAAGTAATAGGTTAAAATAAGCTGTTTTGTTTGTGAATGGAATTCAAACTGCATGGTTAAAGAATAATTGCTAAGTGAAGCAATTACAAAAGACTCTTTTATGGCTCCAAGATCTCCAAGGATGTGATGAACAGTCCCAATTTTAAGCTTTGCCTGTAGTTGTCTCCCCTTAGCTAGGGAGAGTTTGCATATTTTTAGTTGCCGCTTGCTTCAGTTCACTTGTAAAATTTTATTTCTTTCTACGAGACAAGGGAGACTTCTCTCAGACCCAGATGGCACATTAGAAATTGGTTTACATGGAACCTACTAGAAGCATGATACCTGCTATGTATGGGTGAATAAACTATTAATTTGAGTTTACTTTATAAAAATTGGACTCTCGCCCTAGCTGGTTTGGCTCAGTGGATAGAGCGTTGGTCTGCGGACTGAAGGGTCCTGGGTTCAATTCCAGTCAAGGCCATATGCCCAGTTGCAGGCTCGATCCCCAGTAGGGGGTATACAGGAGGCACCAATCAATGATTCTCTCTCATCATTGATATTTTTATCTCTCCCTCTCCCTTCCTGTCTAAAATCAGTAAAAATATATTTTTTAAAAATTGGATTCTCCACCCAGCTCCTGCCCCACCCCAGGCCTTCACTGAACTATTGTCTCTATCCATGGGTTATGCATATAAATTCCTTAGTAAATTTCTATCCGCCCTCCACCTTGTCCTTCCATCTGAGATTTGTCAGTCTGTTCCATGCTTCCATGTCTCTCGACCTATTTTGTTCATCAGTTTATTTTGTTCATTAGGTTCCACATATAAGTGAGATCACTTGATATTTGTCTTTCCCTGACTGGCTTATTTCCCTTAGCATAATTATCTCCGGGTCCATACATGCTGTCTCAAGCAGTAAGAGAGCCTTCTTTTTTCATAGCTACATAGTATTCCATTGTGTAAATATACCACAGCTTTTTTATCCACTCATCTACTGATGGGTACTTGGGCTGTTTCCAGATGTTAGCTATTGTAAATAATGCTGCTATGAGTATAAGGGTGTGTAGATTCTTTCTGATTGGTGTTTTGGGATTCTTAGAATGTATTTCCAGAACTGGGATTGCAGGGTCAAACGGAAGTTCCATTTTTAATTTTTTGAGGAATCTCCATACTGTTTCCACAGTGACTGCAACAGTCTGCATTCCCACCAGCATTGTACTAGGGTTCCCTTTACCCTACATCCTTGTCAGCATTTGTTGTTTGTTGATTTATTGATGGTAGCCATTCTGGCAGGTGTGAGGTGATGCCTCATTGTAGTTTGAATTGGCATTTCTCTGATGATTAGTGACATTGAGTATTTTTTCATATGTCTATTGGCCATCTGTATGTCCTCTTTGGAGAAGTGTCTTTTCAGGCCCTTTGCCAATTTTTAAATTGGATTATGTGTCTTCCTTTTGTTGAGTTGTATGATTTCTTTATATATTTTGGAAATTACCCCCTTATCAGATGTATCATTGAAGAACATGTTCTTCCATACAGTGGGTTCTCTTTTCATTTTGTGGATGGTTTCTTTTGCTGTGAAGAAGCCTTTTATTTTTATGTAGTCCCATTTGTTTATTTTTTTCTTTGTTTCTCTTGCCCTAGGAGATATATCAGTGAAAATTCTGCTATATGAGATGTCTGAGATTTTGCTGCCTATGTTTTTTTTCTAGGATTTTTATGGTTTTGCAATTTACACTTAAGTCTTTTATCCACGCCATTGAGTTTATTCTTGTGTGTGGTGTAAGCTGGTGATCTGGTTGCATGTTTTTGCATCTGTCCATTTTTCCAACTCCCTTTATTGAAGAGACTGTCTACGCCATTGTGTGCTCTTGCCTCCTTTGTCAAATATTAATTGACCATAATTGTGTGGGTCGATTTCTGAGGTCTTTGTTCGATTTCTGAGGTCTTTGATCTATATGCCTGCTCTTGTGCCAGTACTAGGCTGTTTTGATTACAGTGGCTTTGTAGTATAGTTTGATATGTAGCATTGTGATCTTTCCAATTTTGTTCTTTCTCAAGATTTCTGTGGCAATTCAGGGTCTTTTTTGGTTCCATAGGAATTTTTGGAATATTTTGTTCTAGATCTGTGAAATATGCTCCTGGTATTTTAATAGGGATTGCGTTGAATCTATAGATTACTCCGGGTAATATGGACATGAGAATGTCAACTGACTTCTCAATAGAAACACTTCAGGCCAGAGGGAGTGGCATGAAGTACTCGAAGTAATGAAAAGCAAGGGCTTAAATTCAAGACTACTGTACTCAGGGAGGCTATCATTTAAAATTGAAAGTGAAATAAAAAGCTTTCCAGACAAAAGGTTAAAGGAGTACGTTACAATTAAACCAGCAATGCAAGAAATGTTAAAGGGGCTGCTTTAAGAAGATGGAGAAAAGGAAAGAGAGACGATCTAGGCATAAAGAAAATAGAAATGGCAATAAATACCTATCAATAATAACCTTAAATGTAAATGGATTAAATGCTCCAGTCAAAAGACATAGGGTGATTGAATGGATAAGAAACATGACCCATATATATGCTGTCTACAAGAGATCCACCTCAGAACAAAAGATACACACAGATTGAGAGTGAAGGAATGGAAAAATATACTCCATGCAAATAGAAAGGAAAGAAAGCTGGGGTAGCAATACTCATATCAGATAAAATAGATGTCAAAACAAAGGCCATAACAAGAGACAAAAAAGGTCACTTCATAACACTAAATGGAATCTTTCAACAAGAAACTACAACCCTTGTAAACATATGCACCTAATATAGGAGCACCCAAGTTCACGCAAAAATTCTTGATGGACTTTAAGGGAGAGATTAACAGCAATACAGTCATAATAGGGGACTTTAACACCCCAGTGACATCATTGGATAGATCTTTCAGACAAAAAATTAACAAGGAAACAGAGGCCTTAAATGACACACTAGATCAGATGGATCTAACTGATGTTCACAGAACATTTCACCCCAAAGCAACATTCTTCTCAAGCGCACATGGAACATTCTCAATGATAGACCATATGTTAGGGCACAAAACAAGTTTATACAAATTCAAGAAGATTGATATAATGCCAAGCATCTTCTCAGATCACAATGACATGAAATTAGAAATCAACTACAATAAAAACAAACTCAAAAACACTCAAATAGATGTGTTGAAGAAGAGAACCAAGATGGCGGCATAGGTTAACGCCGGAGTTTGCTGCCTCGAACAACCACGTCAAAAAT